GCTATCCATCCATTCTGAGTTCACAGTGCAGGACGTCACTCAAAATTAATCATAAAACATTTTATTTTTAAATATATATATAAAAAAACATATATATATATATATATGTTTTATATATATTTTGTTTTGTTTATGAATGTAATTCTGTGTGAAAATTATTGTTCTCAAGTTGCATCCTTGGGTTTCTAATGGCCACAAAATTCAGAATTTACTTTAAAAAAGGAATTATTGAACATCTGCCAATGTGTTCGTAACATAACTTGACGTCACAAAACAGTATAAGAGAACATTTTTGCCACAAACTTTAATTCCTGTTAAACACGACATTCACGACCCGGATTTATAGATCCGTATCCCGTTTGTACATAGTGTAGTTAAAATTACGGGCATGTATACGAACGTATAAACAAGGAACACGATATTCGACCTTAGAACTCCGCAAAATGCGCTTCGTCAATGTATGCAGACACATTCCTCGGTACACCACGTCATACCCCCCTCCAAATTGGCGAATGCTCTCTTATAGTGAATTCACCAGCAAAAACATACTGATGAGAAGCCATTTTATTGCACTACATGGATGAAGCAATTTTCCGATAATTATCAATTGAATATCCCCAAAGAATACGTACCAGTGAGAAACAGTTTCAATATGGTAAATGTGTGTGCAAGAACAGACTTTCTCAGAAACATCATCTAAAAGGTGGTCTGCCAGTTGATCACCATTATAATCCATATTTACACATGATGCAGACAGCACAGAATTTTGGCGTTGAAACTTATAATGTAGAAAAGAACCGTAATATGGAGATTTCATTGGCTACCACCAGTTTACTGATGCTTCCACAGAATTAAAAAATAATTTAATTTCTTGCACTGATTAGCATAAGAATTATGATGCTTAAGTTAAGAAGATGGGATAATGTATATTTATGTTGTCAATGGCAACCTTCAGTAATGTGTCATCAGATCAATCACATGACAACAACATAAATAAAGTTCTCACAGAACACAGTGAAAATATAGGTTGGTTGAATGCTAGATGTCATATAATATTTTGCATGAAATGAATAATAATGATCTGGGGAAAGGATCCATCAGAAACAAAGGTACCGGTAATACAAATGTTGTGAAACAAAAAGGGCAAATCAAATCAAAGTTTCCCAGCTTCACGACACGTTTTTCCCTCGGCCACAGGGCATCACTAAAAATGATGCTTAAAGGGACATCTCCAGTTAAACCTAATCTAATGAAAGATCCATGGGATTTAAACAGATGAGAGGCAATACAAATTTAATGTTCGAATACCATCAATCCTACAACATGTGAAGCTGCATAAGAAGTCTCGTGTTGACACATTTCATGTTAATGATAATGATAATGTGAAATATGAATTGAGTGATTGCATTCAACTTGATAAAATTAGTCAAGATAATTACAAATCAGAAGTTCAACAGATTCAAGACTATAGTAATGAGAATGACATACAAAACAATAATACAGTTGCAATCTGGAGTTAGCAATGGTGATTTTAATAATAAAGTTGTTTGTATTCGTTATGCTCTGTTAATAGCAATAACAGTAAAAGTTTTGGTGATTTTTGAGAGTACCAGTAAATGTTATTTAATAAAGTTAAAGGGCGGGGTCGTCGCGCTGCGACGTATACAAGGCGTGTAAAATACATTGTTTATTTACATGAAATTCAAACACGCGCTGCGCGACGACCACCGCGCTTTAAGCATGCAAGTAGTACACCCACCAAATTGAATACACGACCAGTAGTTGATGTTGTGATCCGTGAACTTGAACAGTTTATAACTGATATAGATCTGCGATTGCGTTGGCTAGTAGGCTTCTGAAACTGGCAATTGCTGTGTACATATTGGTCGAGTAAGTTTTAATTCAAATCAACAAAGAACTATGTTTGTATGAAAGAACTGTTGGGGAAGCTTTAAATATGAAGGTATCTGAGAACTAGACTAGTATGTTCAGCGTTCTACATTTTGCATGGAGGTTTTCAGAGATCACAAGAAGTATTAAAAGCAGTTTACAGTATGTTGATTGGTGCATTATCTTGCATGTTGTGTTGTGACCATGCTATGCCTCAAAGCATTGTTTCTATTTGTGATGTTTTCTTGCTAAAATACATTGGGACACTTACAAATCCAGAGTCTTCAGCGCAATATCCTATACTGAATATCAACAGATTACAATGACTTCATTACATCACCGTCCGTGATTACATTGAGGGATTATGCAAGTGCAAGTGACAAAGGTTTTAGTTGGGTGAATAAAAGCAGTTTCCCATCTCTAATCTACCTTGGGCATTAGTTTCCGGTGTCTGCTACTTATTTACAAGTTCAAGGTTTTAGAATCTTTCAAAAGACAAGTTAAAACCATGAGGTTACAACAAATTTATTGATTTCCTGGTCGATCTCTTCAAAGAAGAATTACACCAGTCACCAGTAGAGAAAAATATTTATTCATGTTAATATACACTCGTAAGGTACACATTGAACTGTAATGAATTTGTAACATGTCTACTTTCCCCCAATACAAATATAGGTTATATATTTTTTTTTTTTTTTTATTAGACGCATAAAATCCTTAGGAAAGGATAAAAAGGGTCTTACAGAAAGAAATTAAAACAAACTACAATCTAAAAAAGAAAACAAAGAAGAAAAACTTTTCTAAAAAAATAAAACAAATCAAAAACAATAAAGACAATTTGCAGCCAATGGTGAATACAGAATATAGAATGAACACAAAATGTAGCTTAATACACTGATAGTTGTTGCTGTTTTGTTCCATAGCTGTTTTTTAGGAAGACAGCTAAGGCTGGTGCTAGAGTATGGTTTGCCATAATCAAAATGAATTTATTCTGACTATTTTCTTTATCAAAATTTGGAACTTTATTTTGTGCAGTCAGGAATAATTTGTTCCTATGGTGACTGTAAGCTGGACATTTCATTACAAAATGTTGCTCATCCTCAATTATATTTTGGCTGCACATAAGTATCATATGTTCTTTTAACCAGCGGCACATTATTATGTCTGCCTTTCTCAATTTTAAGGTCATGGTTGCTTGTCCTGAATTTTGCAATTAACCTTCTAAGACCATGGTTATGCATATTAATTAGATAATTTTCAATTTTTAAATCTATATTGATAATTCATCATGTCTACAAAATAGTGTCAATCAATCTATGAGGGGGCAAGATCTGAAATCTAGACTCTCTGAAACAATATTTCCTGCATTTTGAGGAGCAAATTTTGTTGATACAAAGGGTTTCAGCTTGATGGGGGGGGGGGGAGATACACCCCCCAAATTATTTTTTTTTTCGGGTGGGCGACAGCCCCCTCTGCCGCGCCACTGTCTAGTTCAAGGGTAGTAGTTGTTGAATCATGCATGCACCAGATGATGGTCTTGCACAAAAAAAAGATTGTTGATAACAATGCAATATGCACACCTACATGTAACGCAGAACAGTATTGTGACAATAAAAGAGAATACAAAAATATCACAAGGATATTACTGTCTATATAGGTAAATTATGATCTGCTATGTGTACTGTAATTGCCATGATGACTATGGTCATTTAACCCAAATCAAAACTTGTACGCATTCTTGCTACCATGATAGGTTGTAGGGAAATGAGTTTGGGACATGTGTTGTGACAACCACTGACCTTATAGCCATATAGTCGCATATTGATGTGGTGTTATAAATATACTCTATTTCATTAGATGTAATGTATGAGGCTTCTTTATGGTTTTACTTGTACTTTAGCTGCATTACAACAAAACTCAAATACAGTAATCATATATACATAAAATCAATTTGGAGTTGAAAAAATAAAGTTCAAAGACAATCTTATAATAACCTGGATTATTATTATTATTATACAACTCTCACCCTAACGCCATAAGTTACAGCGAGCCGTAATTTTGTGGTATTTGAAGGGGTATTTTCATTCTACCATATTAGGAAATGCGAATTACAAATATGGAATGATTACGCGCATAAGCATCCTCTGATAATAAAAACAAACATGGCTGCCACTAGGGATTGACCGGACTCCGCACAAAGAAGTTCGCTGATTCTATTCTAAACTTTTGGGATTTCGGCCTTCCCATGATATATCATTGGGAGGAAAAGACAGACAGTACGCTGTTGCATCGAACCTCCACTGTGTGTCAGTAGATACTCCTGCTGTACTGTCTTCGTGCATACTTTGAAGTATCCTCGTAATAACCTCATATTAATGAGAGCAGAACAGGAAATGGACATTTATTTTGACAAATTATTTCATCACTTTGAAAATAGAGGGCGCTGCGTAAAGGTGAAATAAATGAAAAGATCAGCCGCAACATATTTGTTGGTGCACACACTGACCAAAAATTAATTTTTTTAGGCCTTAGTTTTTAAAACTAAATATCCCCGAGTTTTCTTGCTCACGTTATCTAGTGTGTTCATAGCGTTGAAAAGATCTTTAATTGGTGCCCATAACTCATATGTATCTGGCCAGACATCCATTAACAATATCCGATCACTTCCTTGGTGATAACCAGCTGCAGGACTAATGTGACCTTTGTATGACCCTTGACCCAAAGTACCCATATGATAATTTATTACCAATGCACTCTGACAATTCCCATCCCTCAATGTTTCTATGGCAACCTGTCTGAACTCTTCATCACTGCTATCTGATGCATAATATGTTTTGACATCAAAGTTGAATGCTTTGAATAAGTTTGACATCTCATCTAATGTACACCCCTGTGTTTCAGCTGTGGATCTATCCAGCACAGACGTTGTAGGTTTCAAATCAAACATGGTTTCCTCATGATAGAGGGAGTCACTGTCTTGCTTCATTGCGTTCATGACAATGGCTGCCGTCTGCAAACCACACATTGTTCGATGTTTCTGTTTACCAAAGTATTTAATTATGTCATCTTGGCGATATGTTGATGTTTTGAGTAACTCTTTGCCATCATCACAATTCAAAGCTATCAAGGCAGGAGCAGACATGTTTTGATATCCCTATAAAATGACAAAAATTATTATACATTACACATGCATACTGCTTCATTTCTGCTCATTTTTGTGATTTAATGATTTTATGCCATTCAGTCTTCAACGAGGTTTTTAAAGATCATTTCATCCATGATTTGTATGTTTGTTGATTTCAATGAAGTATGATTTTCTGTGATGTCAATGACATGCAAATGAATAAGGTGTCATAACAAATCCTTGTGCGTCATTGGCGTGTCATGTCGACACACTATGTAGGGTGATTTGTGACAGTTTGGTAATTGCAGAGGAGACAGGGAGGTCATCACTACATCGTCTTCGATATCTGAATTACGTCACAAAACTTGTGTCTTTCAAATGCAAAATTAACTACGCATTTTGTCTCTAGTGATGTTACCTGGTAGTGAACTTGACGAAGGTCAAAATTTCATAGTTGTCGTGGCACTTGTGTCTGACACTGGGTTCAGAGAGGTCCTCACCCTTGTCAGTTGGCATGTGTCCAGGTGTGCTCACAGTGGCCAAACGTTGCAATAGTGTAATCAATGAAAGCTATAGCAATACTACATGAATCCTTCTTACCAAGGCCTAGAGACTGGGTCACAGACAATATTTTTGTCCAGCACAACAAAGATACCTGAACACATACTAGACATATGATTTTCAAGAATTTTCCACAATTTTTTCTCAAACTTTCTTGCATTTTTCTCAAGACATTTTGACCCTTAATTCGGGTGCGGGGATAGCAATCACTGCCGACACTTGTCGGAACTGAGGTAAAAACACTTTATAAAAAAAAGACTATGCAGAGAAAACAGGCCTTTCTAAAATGAATTACCAGGTAATAACTATGAAGAAATTTAAAGACTTTTCAAAGATTTTTTTTATTTTTCCTTTAAAATTTAAAGACTTTCAAAGGATTTTCCCAACGCTACAGACTCTACTAGAGTATGACTGTGAAAACACACTTAAAGGGGCACCTTCCAGTTAAGATTAATTTCACAACAAATTTACTTTCTGGATTAAAATAACAATGGATAACAAAAGATAGATTAACATTGTAAACAACATAAACAACAGTGTCCCATGATTCTTTGGTGCAATCCATGGGATTGAGTGGTTAAAGGGAGACAGCTCAATCCCATGGATTGCCCCAAAGAATCATGGGACACTATTGTTTATGTTGTTTACAAAGTCCTTTAAGTACATTATCTACATTTCTCACCTAACAGAAAATAATTATTAACACTGTTCATATCACATACTGAAAACTATTTATTTTCACTATTTTAATGCTTTGAACAAATGCACAGGGTTTGTAATCCACCAACTTGGACAGGAAATAATGAGTTTGTATAGCGTTATCTACGTTGCATGGCGGGACATTTAAGTCCCTTGAATATAAGAGGGTGGGTTACGTTACATTATACGAGCATGTTTTCCTGTATCCATTTTTAATCGCGGTCACCTGTTCTGATTGATTTATTGATCGATCGATCGGTTGATTGATTTTGTAATTATCAATTATTTTTATTCATCCATAACGCCCCTCCACGTACACACTGGTTTGAGAACGTAAATAAACGATACAAGTACTACTTAATGCCCTTGTGAGTTCTGTAGATTTATCGACAGATTATGTTTTGAGTTGTGGCTGCCGGTATCAACGAAAATAGCAAAATCAAAACCCAGTAATGTGTTTACAGTAAAGAAATATATGTAAATACTTCTGTTCCTGAATTGCAATATTACTTTCCTTGCTAGGGAGTCTTTTGTTGTTATTGATCGATCAAGATGGTAACTAATAATGTGAAATAATGAACAAACAATGTAGTCATGACAACAACAACAATGAAATAACATAAGCACAACACATTTATGGTGAAATAACAACTTTGTAAAGATGAAATATCACTCACATGATGACACGATTGTTAAATAGTGACACAAAATAGAGAAATAACTTAAACATGACCAAATAATAATGAAATAATGACAATAAAAAAAAGACATGCATTGTACGGTTGAAATTAATATGATCAATAATGATGAAACATTGATATAATAATGTTTAAATAATGTTCATGTTATAGTGATGAAATAATTACATAATAATGTTTATGTTATAGTGATGAAATAATGTTTAAATAATGTTCATATTATAGTGATGTAATAATTACATAATAATGTTCATGTTATAGTGATGAAATAATGACTTAATGTTTATAAATAATGTTCATGTTATAGTGATGAAATAATGACATAATAATGTTTATAAATAATGTTCATGTTATAGTGATGAAATAATGACATAATGTTTAAATAATGTTCATGCTATAGTGATGAAATAATGACATAATAATGTTTTTAAATAATGTTCATGTTATATAGTGATGAAATAATGTAATAATGGCAAAATAATATAATCATGATTGAAATATTTTTTTAAATTTTGGAACAACCTGATTAAAATATTAGGTGCTAGCCCTTGTTGGCTTTCGCGATTACCAAAACTTAAAAAAACTACCAGCAAACAAATTCAAATAAATAAAATAAAATATATGAAAAAACATAAATTAAATTATATTCGAAAAAAAAAATCCCAAAGTAGGATCTTATTTTAAAGGGCGATGGTCGTCGCGCCGCGTCTGTTCGAATTTCATGTAAATAAACAATGTATTTTACACGCGTTGTATACGTCGCTATGAGTCCCATATCAAACAGGAGCTCCATGATCAGACTGATTTTGACAATTAATCTTCCCCTGTTATATATGTATGCATCAAAAGTGCTGAACAAGCACTGTTAAAAAACAGCATTATTGACGAAACATATTTGGAAAAGAATAGCAATGGACAAAATGATACTGGGACGAAACAGCGTTGATATACGAAACAACATTGGGAAGAAACACCTGGGACGAAACAGAATGTCAGCAACGGGGTGTCAAAACAGTGAAACAAATTTAACAATAATGATGCTATATTTTTGTCATAGTATATAATGGGATATAACATTATTTACTATACACAGACTCGGCAGTCTAGAAAAAAAAACAGTTTCTAACTATATAGTTTACCAGGGAAACAAGCTGGAGGTCAGTATCGTGTCACAGTTCGATTTCCAATTCTTCTGCAGATGAGGGTCTGCTGAGGGCGCACTATCAAAGAATGGCCAATAGAAATGCGCCTACCTCACTCGTACACTTTGTACTTTAATAACACGAATAGTGATTGGAAACTGAGCCTGCAGTGTTCCCGCCATCATTTGGGGTCCGCCATTGTCGTAGTATTTCAAAAAAATTGGCAATAATGTCTGACAGCGAAAAGAACGAAACAGAGCCAAAAACTGAGGTGAGAAAATCAAACGGGAAGTTATTTAAGCGGAAGTGAGTTTGCGTTCACATTTTCAGACGTTCGTGTTATTTACAGAAAATAATCGACTAGTAGTACCAGGCCGAGGTGTATAGCTATGTTATATTTTGATCTGCTTTGTTGACAACTTTTATATTGCTCTGATTGACTAATCGAGTGTGGCACAAAATACGTACAATGAGATAAGTCACATTATTGTGAGGTGTGTTCTACTCTGGACTGATTTTTACATAAAACTTAAATCTGTATCAGGTTTTCTACTCGAAAAACTGATGGGTCATCACTTAGTCTGTCGTGATTATCTTTCATGTTCTATGTCGCAGTGTGTCACGAAGGGCTTTGCGCATACTACGGTACGTACATGGTCCCCACCAACGGACTGTAGTTACAGTTAGGACTATCCGCATACTAATTCGCATACTAATTAACTTAATGTACAGTTATATTTGATAATAGAAATTGATTTACATGATGGCCGAAAAGAACTATCCATTCCAGTTGGAGTGTGTTTTCATTTTATTGCCCTTGCTTAAAACACATGTTTCTTGTGTGTAAACACTTCAATAGTATTCCTGTTTGATCAGTAATGTAGTAAATAAACAGCTGATTATGAAGTAAATAAACAGCTGATTATAAAAATGTGTTCCTGGTGATTTATTGATGAACTTAAGTCATTGTGTTTAGTCATTTGGTCAACAGGTATTTGCAACAGGAGTTTAGGGTTATATATTTAGGGTTATATAACCCCAGTATACTATAGAAAATAAATGTAGGGTATGCAACTTCTGTACAGTGGATCACTCTACACCCAGCGAATATGGCAGGTTTTCGAATAAAAACGCACAATACATCGCCAAACTAGCTATTCACTCAATTTATTAGTCTTATTTATCCAATTATGTAAGAGTGTATTGTGCGATTTCCTTGTACAGCTGGGAACTGAAGTGTCCGAACCCTATCAGTACTGCTCATGTATACGATATCTTACTCAAAATAGAACTGATTCAATCATATGACATAGTATAGCATGTGAAACAGATCAAATAAGGACAATGTGTAAATGATGAAATTTGTTTAGCCACACCTGCAATTAGTTGTAGCTTCCAGTGAATTTTGTAAATTCCAAGGAAGTTTATTGCCGGAACAAGTCTCTTGTGAAATAATTTCAATGCCACAACATTTATATTACCTCTGTCGCTATGTTGGCCTTTGCTGTTATCCTGATAGTGTGTGTATTTATGTATGTATGTATGTATGTATGTATGTATATATGTCTGTTCCACTAATATCTGAAGAACCATTTGTTCAAATTTCAATGAAACCTAGTACATGGATGTTCTGGGATAATGCTTATTAGTTTTGAGTTGAAATTTGTCCATATTAATTACTTAATTTGCATAATAATCAAACTTTGCTTTTCCACCGATGTCTTTAGTACTAATAATCGCATTACCTGTTGCATAGATGCCCTCGAGTAATCCACAGAAGTGATTGGTTCAGGGTTGAAAACAACCAATATTGATTACCTAATTTGCATAAATTTGTATTAATTCTTTAATTTTTAATAATTTTAAATACTGCAAATATTTAAGGCTTTAGTGGAATGAGGTACAGTGAGTGAAATACTGCATAGATTCTAGGCAGTAGTTTAGTGGAGTGACGTCTTTGTTGTCATATTAAAGATATTTTCCTTTATTTAGCCTACAACCGAAGAAAAAGAAGAGCCAGAAAAAGAAATAGAAAAAAAAAGTGTAAAATCAAGTCCAAAGAAAGTGGCAAAATCACCGTTGAAAAGAAAAAAAGAAAATGGGAAAGATGAAGCTGAGGAGGAAAGTCCAAGAAAAATGGCCAAATCACCAATGAAGAAAAAGGAAGAAACGAAAGAAAGTGAAAAAGAGGAAGAGGGGAAGGATGAAGATGATGACAGCCAGGAAGAAGTGATGGAAGCCCGACGTAGGTTATTTATAGACTTACAGCCATATTGTCCCCACTGGTTGGCCCAATACTAGTATATGTACACTAAAGTATGATGTGGTTTTAAAATAACTTTTGGGAGACAAATTTATAGCAATCAAGTTACTCTAACAGATCAACTAATTCACTGAAGTTTTCTCAAATGTACAAATTAACAGCTGTCAAATAGACAGGACTCAAATCTGCCGAAAAATTAACGCAACTTGTAATTTATGCTCAAGATGGACATTCGGAAAACAAGATAGCTTTGTTTTCCATCAAAAGTTATGATAAAATTTCATCTTTAGAATTATTTAAAATTATGCAACTGTGAACTTTTGCCAAGCTTTGAACTTTTTATGCATGTTTTTATTTTTCAAACTTTTTTTTCCCCATCTGTAGTTGGCTTACTGGATAAACCGGTTGAAATGAAGGGTACTCGAGAACGAAAGAAAGTTGAACGGTTATCCATGCCTGAAGCTAAACCACAACCAGAAGATAAAAATGAAATCCCTGCAGGAAGAGGAACTAAATTAGGAGAAATAGAACGAGGTAATTGTTATTATTATACATCTGTCACCGTAACAGCATAAGTTACAGTGTGCCGTAATTTTGCGATATTTTTATCCTACCATATTAGGAAATGTGAATTCCAAATATGGAATGATTACGCATGTTAGTGTTCTCTAATTATAAAAACAAACATGGCTGCCACCAGGGTTTGACTGGACTCCACACAAAGAAGTTCGCTGATTCTGTTCCAAACTTTCTGGATTACGGCATTCCCATGATGTATCCTTGGAAGGAAAAGATGTATAATAATAAGGTTATTATGAGGATAACTCAAAGTATGCACTCAGACAGTACGCCATCGCATCGACCTCCGCTGCAAGTTGGTCGATACTTCCGCTGTACTGTCTTTGTGCATACTTTAAGGTATCCTCGTAATAACCTCATATTATTTGGTTTGTGATCACACGTGTGTAACCAATAATGTAGTTGTTTAAAAGGAATGGTGCCATCTTTGAGATGGACAAATTATCTTGTATATTTGTTCATTTTAAGCACTTCAGTATCTAAAAAAAATTATGGACACTATTACTATTATTCAGTCATTCTTTGAATGGTAATGTTTATGTAAATGCTATTACATGTATCAACATTGCTATTTTTTATTTATTTATTTATTTAACACTTTATTCAAAGAAAGTAGGCCAATATACAATAAAGTAATTTTCATTGGGCCCTCTGTAGGGACAAAAAACACAATAGTACTCTATATGTACAGCGATTGCTTTTGAGTGTTTATTGAAGTTGTTTTGCTACAATAAAGGTTGTTGAAACGATTTAAAACCATCTAATGGAAAGTTTTTATGTTCACAGTTGAGTTCCAATTGAAGAAAGTCAATTCAGATGGTTTGAAGCCTCTCCATCGATTACTTTTTAATAAACAAGGTTCTGTGAGTATCTGTTTTTCGATATAACACCTGAAATGACCTGTTCTATGATTGATTTTTACTGAATGACAATTCATGGTCTACTAGACTTGAACTTGAGATTGCAAAGACGATAATAGATAAAATTGTCTTGGCATCGTAGGAATAATATACAGTACTCATTGCGCCAAACCTCTCGCTTTCATCCCTTTTTTTTGACTGCTTATCATTTAATTTCCGCACACTCACTGCTTTCTGACCCAATTTTTTTGCTGACTGGCTTTTAAAACATTCATACGTTTTATAGTAGTAATAAATTCAGATTTTAATGAAGATTTAAGATACAACACGTATTGTTACTCTGGAGAAAATAAAAAGCCTCCAAATCACTTGACACATTTTACCATTTGCTTCACAAGTTGATCTGTGAGCTGAACTTATGATTTTACGTTCATGTGTGTGTAGTTCAAGCAGCTATAATAACGGTCAATCAATCAATATATATTGAGTATTTGTGCTTTGTGTGTGTCTTTCTAGTGAATTTGACAAAATTTATTCCGAACGCCCCTAAAATTGATTTGACACTTTATTTGTGAACGCAACTTAAAACTATGACCCTTACTCAGTTTGCATAAGAATGCTGTAGTTCAAAACAGCTCTCAGGTCAACTTTGCTTGTGTCTGGATATGGAAAACAACATGTTTTATTTTACTGGCAAAGTATGACTCCAGAGAAGTGTCAAAGATATTTTAGTCACTTGGACAAAGTCATTCCTATGGCATTACTGTGGATGGTGCAGCGTCTGGATACTGCATATAAAAGCAGTCCCAATATACAAACCTTTATGGTTACCAGTCTCACATATTATTAAATAAAATTCATCACAATTGCATTACAATTAAATTTGAAGATATTTAATAATATTCAAAGTTTTTATAGTGTTGTACAGTAAGCTGGCATGCACATGGCATGCCCCCCCCCCACAAGTATCACCAATACATGCATGTAATGTACAAGATAATAAATTTGATAATTCATTATAATACTTATTATGTGTATGCCATTAACATTGGTTGGGAATGCGTACACAGGATGTTTTCATATTTTTTTTTTGCAAGAATTATTAAAACACATTTTAGAACCTGTATTCTCAGTACTTTCATAGTGTACAAAGAAGTCCTTAATAAATTTATTTATTTATGCGACTGACTTAGGTTGAGTGATGCATGCTGGGAAAAAAGGGCGACAAACTTTTAGAATTACCCATCATTATAAATCCGCACCAAGCTCTGGGCCAAGTGGGGGGTGCTGCTTTGTGTTGGTTGTAGTTGAGACAAATTGGAAATGCCTAAATGCTCTGATGCAAGCCAACAAATCTTTACTGCAGACAATCAAAGTCGGCGTTAGACGTTAGCCAACAAACGTTATGAGGGCTTTTATACAGCAAGCAAAATTACAATACCCAGGTCAGCTTCTGACCAAATTAGAAGAGAGTAAACTGAAAGAGGCAGTAAATAGCAAATGCAGAAAAATTAAATTGTAATGTAATTTGTATTGTAATACATGTATAATTGGATAAATGGTAGTAATAATTTGTATGTTGGTTTTTTTGCTGAATGCATGCTTGTATGTGAAAAATAAACTAGTTAAACTATATTTATTGCTGTCCATTAATTACTTTTTATAATCATTCAACACAACACAATATTTACGAATAATTACTTAAAAGTGAATATTCAACCCGGTCACCGGTTAAAAAAAAGATCTGCGGAACATGATAAATTCCTAAATATTTGCAATTTTAATCGAAATTTTATAAATTCTTGACCAAACCTCTAGTAAAAAAAATATATTTAAATACAACACGCAGAACATGGAGCAAAGTAATTACAAACATTCTCGACCCAACCCTAGTAAAAAAAAAATGTATTTAAATATGACCCGTGGAATATGAGTACGCTAAATATTTGCAATTCGATCTGAATCCAAAATGCTTCATCTTCGCGTGTCAGCAACAGATGTAAATACATACGATGGGCATTTATTGCAAATGCCGAGTTTGATGAATTTCGGCATATGACTGTTTGAAACTGGAAGCGGCAGGAGGAGGTCCAGGGCTTGTATAAAACTAAGAAACTTCTTCAGTCTTCAGTATTTGCCGGTGACAGAGAGGGTAATCCTGTTTCTTTTAAAAATGACATTGCTCCCTTGACTTTAACAGGATACATGGTCACATTTAGAGTTTTCACACTTAGTAAATATTATCGTTCCTATCGGCTTCTGTAAATGGGCATCCATGTTTTCTTTCATTATGTTTTCTGGTTGGTTTAGTTCTGTGTGAGGTCATGAATTCGTTTGTAGTCGCCATATACACGTTGGTTATCACTGTCACTTGGCTCGAAGCTTGGTATTACTGTGTGGGTACCGTTTATATTCGACCATAATAATTGGACAATATTTTCA